AAATATTGATAAGTTGTGTGAACCTATTCGAGAGGCCTGGACTCATAAAGGGGTGAGTATTGTAAGTGATGGGTGGAGTGATTCACAATGGAGGCCACTCATTAATTTCATGGCAGTGTCTGATGGTAAAGCAATGTTTTTAAAATTAGTTGATTGCTCGGGGGAGATTAAGGATAAAAATTTCATTTTCAGGTTATTTGTTTGAACTTTTGTATTCTATTTAAGTGTTTATTTGCTCGAGGGAGACTAATGATAAAAATTTCATTTTCAGGTTGCTAAAGGAAGTTATTCAAGAAGTAGGAGAGGCGAATGTGGTTCGAGTAATCACTGATAATGCTGCAAATTGTAAGGGAGCAGGGCAACTGATTGAGCAGGAATTCCCATCTATTACCTGGACACCGTGTGTTGTTCTCACATTGAATTTGACTATGAAAAATATTTGTGCTGCAAAGAATGTGGAGAGCAATCAAATAACGTATGAGGAATGCAGCTGGATTTCTGATATTGTAGGTGATGTTGCTGCAATAAAGCATTTCATTATGAATCATTCTATGAGATTGGCCATTTTTAATGAGTTTGTGAGTTTGAAGTTGCTTTCTATTACTGATACTCGTTTTGCTTCAACGATTGTGATGCTGAAGAGGTTCAAGTTAATAAAGAGTGGTCTCCAAAATATGGTGATAAGTGAAAAATGGAATATTTATAGAGATGATAATCTTGGGAGGGCCAGACATGTGAAGGAAAAATTATTGGATGATTATTTTTGGGATTAAGTTGATTACATACTTGCCTTCACTGCTCCTATTTATGATATGATCAGAGCTTGTGACACTGATAGAGCTTGTCTTCACTTGATATATGATATGTGGGATGCAATGATTGTGAAAGTGAAGAAAGCTATATACCATAAAGAGGGGAAGAGGATGGAAGACAGCTCCTCTTTTTATGATGTGGTGCATCGCATTCTTGTGGATCGTTGGACAAAAAACTCAACTCCACTGTTTGGCACAGGCTTTGAATCCCAAGTAAGTTTTTAAATATGATTCAGTTTAAAATTAATACTCCTCTTGATATAATTTGACAACTTGTTGATTTTTTTTGCTTCTTTTTTAGATACTATAGTCAACAATGGCTTTAGGAAGATTTTAGTCGAGTTCCTCCACACATGGATTTAGAGCTTACTCAAGAGCGACAAAAATGTTTAAGGAGATTCTTTCCTAGCATGGAGGACCGAAGCCGGATTAGTTTGGAGTATGCAGATTTTATTAGCAATAGTGGAACCTTTGGCGATTTTGATGCCATCAATACTCAATACACTATGGATCCGAAATCTTGGTGGCTACTTTATGGTACCTATACATCGATGCTTCAAAAAATAGCATTGAGACTTGTTCAACAACCCTCCTCTTCATCATGTGCTGAACGCAATTGGAGTACTTATTCTTTTGTGCATTCCATCAAGAGGAATAAAATCACTCCAAAACATGCTGAAGACTTGGTTTATGTGCATAACAATCTTCGACTCTTATCAAGAAAGACTCCTAGTTATGCACAAGGAGAAAATCAAATGTGGGATATCGCTGGAGATACATTCGATTCACTTGATGATATTGGAGATCTTCAATTTGCTAGCCTTTCACTTGATGAGCCAGAGATAGAGGCCATGATTATTCAAGATGGAGAAGAAAATAATTGAACTGTGTGTAATCATAAGTAAAATAATTTTTCTATTTTTCTACACTCTTCACTCTACACTCTACACTCTTGGGATGTTCTATTATTTTTTCTTAATATTTATGTTATGAAATTTGAATATTTGAATAGTATATGAGTTATTATGAGTTGCTATATGTATTAAATGTAAATTATATTATATATATTAAAAATATTATTTAATATCAAAACGTGTCCCAACTTGTCAAAATTTAGCATTTTTTAGAATTAACGTGTCGGAGTATCGTGTCGTGTCCCGTGTCCGTGCATCATTGGTCGCCACCATCACCAGTATATCATTGTCGCCGTTGAGTTTTTGGGTATATATATAGCTTTATCCAACAGCTTTTGGGTTGAATTTATTCTTTACACAGTATCAGAGTCTCAGTGTCATGGGTTCGATCATTATCGCCCCTCATTTAGTTAATAATTAATTAACTCTCATGGAGTTTCTCAGTATAGGTAAGTGAGCTTATGCATTATACACCCTTCAAGCGCAACAGACTCTTGTGTTTTGAATGTTTTTAAAATATATAAAAATTATTAGGGTGTGCATGACAACTATTCCGAAATCATTTTTTTTTAATTTCTGTTTTTGGGAACATAAATGAATAGAAAACTCATTTGGGTAAAATCGATTATTTTTTGTTCGCGAGATGAACCGGTTTAAGTTTTGTGCTGGAAAATAGAAAAAAAGAATAAAAAAATTCCTCTTTTTTTTTGTTCTGGGGCACACAATGAGAAACATTTGTCTTTCTCAATCACTCTCCACCACTACCATCACCACTATCTCGACACGACCACTGCCACCATTGTCGCCATTGTCGTCGTACCACCAGTGTCGTCGTCACCACCACCACCACGATGCCACCGCCACCATCACTACCACTATGCAACTGTCACCACCACCAACTATCGCAACTAGGGGTGGCAATACGGGTCAACCCGACACGACACGACACGATACGTTTTTGACCCGTACACTATTTGACACGACCCGTTTTGTAAACGGGTCGTAAAACACAAACCCTGACACGACCCGTTGCGGGTCACGGGTCGACACGACACGACCCGTAAAATTTAAAATTTAAAAAAAAAAGTTGGATTTTTTGAAAAATAAATAAATTAAAAACAATAAAAAATAAAAATAAAAATAAAAAAAGATTAGCTTCTGTTTTTTGAGATTTTTTGTTCCTTCTATTCTTTTCTATACTAAACAATGACTATATATATCAATATATAAATGAATAAAAATAATAATATAATAAAATATTTAATAAAAAAATAAAAAAATGACACTGTGCGGGTTGACACGCGAACCCGCGGGTTGACACGTGACCCGACACGAAAAAAAACGGGTCACATTTACACAACCCTGACACGACCCGTGGTTTGACACGACACGTGATTTGGCTGGTCGGGTCACGGGTCAACCCGCGGGTCAATACCTGTATTGCCACCCCTAATCGCAACCACTACTGTCACAACCACCAACACGACCACTGCCACCATTACTACTATTGTCACCAACTACCACTACCATCGCCGCAACCACTGCCGTCACCATTATGCCATCACCACGTCATCGCCACCACTATCACCACCGCCACCATCGCCGCAGCCACTCCCGACATCGTCACCATCACCAACCACCAATACTATCGGCGCAGCAACTGTCGTCACCATCAACACCATGACATTACCACCACCACTATCATCAACATGCTACCGCCATCATTACCACCACCATCGCCACCGTCGCTGCCACTACCACCTCAACACCATATAAAAAGGAAAGTGATGATCTGAAAAAATTTTATGCTTAATAGGAATTATTTTTTTATTATATTATTTATTATATAAAATTAAGCACAATTATCATTCTCAGAATAAAAATAAAACATGTTATCAAATATATATTTTTCTCAGAAACTATTCAAAGGCACATAAATAGAAAAGAATTGTTTCTTTTCAGAAACAATGTCAGGGAACAGAATGATTGTTATGCACGCTCTCAATGTGTTCTCACGCAACAACTTAAACTTTTAGATTGAATTGAATCTTTTATATATTTATATATATATAATCCACAGTCATCAGTCATATACTTGACATCCTACTCTTAAATTTTAACAATAAAGCAAACTGCAAAGATACTTTATTTACATTTTAACATTGATGCTGAGTAGTGATTTAGAAGGCAATAAAACAATGTGTCTTGATGAAGTAGCATAATTAGAAATATAGGAATGATGAGAATCGTAGGACGTGGGATCATACTATCTATTGAAGATTATTTCTAAAACGAAATACAAGCTAATCACAACATTAGAGTCAGCAGTTCCCTAACCAAAATACTAGAGCTCGGTGATTATTATATTTTTCCAGATAAAAAAAATCAATAATATCGTGTTTACATTACCGTTTGAGCCGCAATAGGAAGAGTGACCTATAAATAAGGCAGGAATATAGTAGTAAGTGAAATTAGTATTCACCAAATCACACAATATTTTCAGTGCTACTCCCTTTTTCGATATAGTAAAAAATATGAAAGGAAATAACGGTAGTATAAATATGTTAATTTTTTTCATATTTAATAAGAAAATAGATTATATTTATAATTTTTTTTGTTAACTCTCACGAATTATATTATATACTATGCGTAATACATATTTATAGATAATACATACTCAAATAATATATATTACCCATGAAACGTAATATAATTTGTAAAAATTTTTTTTTTTATAAATATAACCATACTCTTTAATAAAAAAAATACCAAAGATTTGATACCGAAAATATTTCCGTCAGTTAGGGCATAATCCCTGTACCACCTTCCATCCCGAGTCATTAGTCATTTGTACACTAATTATTAAGGAAATAATTTTTGTTTTCTTTTCATAGATATTTATAAATTCTGTAAAAAGAAAATCTTACATGTGTAAACATTAAGTAAGTAGAATCTATCAAAATTTGAGAGTATTTATAGAAGAAAAAAAATATGAAAAAATGGAAAGCATCTGTTCCCTAAAAAAGGACGTTAAAGTAAAAGAATCCGTTGGCAAGTAGGTTTAAGGCTGGATGGGGTCATGGTTGTCCCATTCCACGGCCACTACAACGAAATTTCAATTCCATTATTTATTATTATTATTATTATTATTATTATTGTTATTATAATTTAACCTTTCAAAATTTCAAATCCATCGCCGTTTCTCGTCATTATTATATCAGAGAATTTTTTCCTTAGTCGGTGTCTTTCTCTTTCTCCCTATGTTCTTGTTCTGAGACGTGTTGACGTGTTTACGTTGGAGCAGATATATATATATATATATAGAGAGAGAGAGAGAGAGAGAGAGAGAGTTACACAGTAATCTTCAGCAGGGGGCGGTTTTGTTATCGTGGCTGCTGCTAAAATAGAAAACCTGAGAGATGAAGAGGAAGTTTGAAACTTTGGTTTGGTTAACGAGGAAAAGATCGATTCAGTTTCTGATTGGAGTTGGTCTTTTGTACCTTGTGGTGTTCACGCTCGAAATCCCCTTCGTCTTCAAAACCGGGTTCGGTGCCGTCACAACTCGCCCTCCGAGCCTACTCAGCGAGGAGGAGGACCACACCGAAGAGAGAGAAGCCCCAACTCGCCCCTTCAAAACGGTTTCCAACGCACTCCCACCGAGTCAACTCGCTCGCCGGAAAATCCTCTCCGGTTTGGTTTTAAACGACGCGACGTTCGACCTGAGCGGGAAGGACGGGTCCTTCGAGCTCTACAAGCTAGCCAAGAACGCACGCGAGGTTGGGTTGAACCTTTGGCAAGACATCCAATCGGGTAACCCGCGACCCGTTTTGAAGAAGCCAGAGAACCGGTCGGATTCATGCCCGGGTTCGGTGTCGGTATCCGGGTCGGATTTCTCGGGTGTGGTGGGGCTTCCCTGTGGGCTCACATTGGGGTCCCACGTAACGGTCGTGGGGAAGCCGTTGGCGGCGCACCCGGATTTCGAGCCGCGGATATCGGTGGTGAAGGAGGACAATGAACCGGTGATGGTGTCTCAGTTCGTGGTGGAGTTGCAGGGTCTGAAGACGGTGGATGGTGAAGACCCTCCTCGGATTTTTCACTTTAATCCAAGGTTGAAGGGTGATTGGAGTGAAAAGCCCGTGATTGAGCTTAACACGTGCTACCGCATGCAGTGGGGTGCTTCTCTCAGGTGTGATGGTTGGAAATCCAAGGCTGATGATGATACTGGTGAGTTAAGAAAATCAGTTTTGAGTTTTCATGTGTGTTGTTGTTTATTTGTGTTTTTTGTTTCTATTTTGATATTGATTGATTGTGATAAATTGAGTTGTTGTTCACAGTTGATAGGCTAGTGAAGTGTGAGAAGTGGATCAGGGATGATGAAGATCATGGAGAGGAGTCTAAGGCAACATGGTGGTTGAATAGATTGATAGGTCGCACAAAGAGAGTAACAATTGATTGGCCATTCCCGTTTTCTGAGAATAAGCTTTTTGTTCTTACTCTTAGTGCTGGAATGGAGGGTTATCATGTTACTGTTGATGGGAGGCATGTGGCTTCTTTTCCTTATCGCACTGTGAGTAATAATGTGATTTCAACTTTGTTAACCTCTTAACCTGAAGATTGATTTGCATGATTTTCTTATTTTGCTTTTTGATTTCAACAGGGATTTGCTCTTGAGGATGCCACCGGGCTTTCTTTGGCTGGAGACATTGATGTCCACTCCATATTTGCTGCATCTTTGCCTTCATCACATCCTAGTTTTGCCCCGCAGCGGCATCTTGAATATTCGACCAGATGGTGTGCTCAGCCACTAACTGGCTCCGGTGTAGAATTGTTCATCGGCATCCTCTCGGCCGGAAACCATTTTGCTGAGAGGATGGCTGTGAGAAAGTCATGGATGCAGCATAGGCTTATCAAGTCTGCAAAAGTGGTGGCTCGTTTCTTTGTAGCACTGGTAATGGTGACTGGTTGACGAGGTTTTTATTTTTGAGGTTATGGTTTCATTTCTGATGTTCCGTTTGGGTTTCTTAAAATTTGATTGAAATTTTGACAGAGCCCGAGAAAAGAAGTTAATGCAGAGTTGAAGAAGGAAGCAGAATTTTTTGGTGATATTGTTATAGTGCCTTACCTGGATAACTATGACCTTGTTGTGTTGAAAACAGTGGCCATATGTGAATATGGGGTGAGTTGTTAATTGATTTTGAGTTTGAAATATGATGAGTTTTTTCTGTGATATATGAGATGTTCTTTTTTTGGGGGAATGAAATATAAGATGTGGTTTATTGTTCATAGGTTCATACAGTTTCTGCTAAGTATATCATGAAAGGTGATGATGACACTTTTGTAAGAGTGGATGCTGTTATCAATGAAGCAAGGAAGGTTCCCGATGATAAGAGCTTTTATATTGGGAACATAAATTATTACCACAAACCCTTGCGCTATGGTAAATGGGAAGTGACATACGAGGTAATCAGAACCTATTCCAATGCTTTTGTTAAGAATTAAGGAGGGTTTGTTGTCTGAAAAAATTTATGAATTTGGTTTTGTATATTAATGTTACATCAATTAAGAATACGTCTCTATTCTGATCCAAAGAATGTCTGAACTGTATATACCATGGTCCTTAACCGTGTTTGCCACACACACATATATCAACACTGATTGTGATTGATATAACTTCTGACCCCATGGTTTTTTACTGTTGCCACATTCAACTTCTTGCAGGAAAAATCTTGGTGTATTTGAATATTGATTTTCTTTTTTTGTTGCCTTTTTTTCCAGGAGTGGCCAGAAGAGGATTACCCACCCTATGCTAATGGACCGGGTTATATATTGGCATCTGATATTGCACGCTACATTGTATCTGAATTTGAGATGCATAAATTAAGGGTTAGTAAACACAATTTTTACTGCACATTTTTCTCTGTACTTCCATGGGAGCAGGATTCCCATGCAGGTGTACCTGAAGTCCCTTTCGTTTGAAGATATTTTTGGCTAAATGTTTCGGTGACTTGCTCTTTTATGCAGTTGTTTAAGATGGAAGATGTGAGTATGGGAATGTGGGTAGAGCAATTTAACCGCACAAAACCAGTGCACTACTCGCATAGCTTGAATTTCTGCCAGTTTGGTTGCATAGAAGACTATTACACAGCCCATTACCAATCTCCAAGGCAGATGATGTGCCTGTGGGATAAATTGCAAAGGAAGACAAGGCCTCAATGCTGTAATATGAGATGACCACGAAGTATAGGTTGTCATCTTTTAATCCAGTGAAAGGGACCAAGAAAATGAGTTTTGCAGTGAAGCCATAGTAGCATCGAGTATTGTATATAACTGTGGAGCTTGGTTAGTTCAACGTCCATCTGTATAAAATGACCTTTTGAATCTCAGTATTTGTTATTGTTTTTTGGTTCTGTTTTTGGCCCCCCTTTCTGGGGTTCTCAATTCTTTTGGGACGGAATTGGAAGGAATATGAAGATGGGAGAGGAATATTTTATTGATGCTGATACAAGTTCTGTGAAATAATTTGAAGCATAGAAGATATAAGATCAATTCTTACATCAAGACAAGTGTTTTTTGCCGGTTCTCTAATTTTATGCTCCCATTTTACATTTATTTTTAACCTGTGTCTAGGGGTGTTAACGGGCCGAGCCGAGCTTTGATCTTAAAAAGCTAATTTTGTGTTTAAATGTGTCAGCCTGACCACCAAGTCTGTTACCTGGTATGATATAATTATTGGCCTGTGGACTGGTTTATTTACAAAAATTGAAAGTTTGGTTTAGCCTTTTAGTCTGTTAAAAAAAATAAGACAACAAAAATTTATCCAAAAAGAATATACAATCAACAGCACTAGTAATTCCATAAATATTCATAAATTCAATGTATATCCAAACAGCATAATAAAGAACAAAATAATTGAAAAACTATGTTTAACCAATAAAATGAATGAAATGGATTGAGGAGAAAGAGAGAGTTCTTACAAGTAGTATAAAAAATATAAAATAAAAATAAAAATTAATATATTAGGCTAGCCTGAGAGGTTCTAAGGCCGAACTTTTGAACGAACTTTTATAAAAGTCTAAACCTGATTCCAACAACTAATTTTAAATATATAAGCTCAGGCCTTCACGAACCGAACCAAAGAACCCTGGTTCGTTTATCATCCCTGCCAATGTCCATCCATATACATGCTTTGATTTTTTGGTTCTGAAAAGGAATACAGAAACAGGGTTCCTGTAAATATTCATAAATTCAATGTATATCCAAACAGCATAATAAAGAACAAAATAATTGAAAAACTATGTTTAACCAATAAAATGAATGAAATGGATTGAGGAGAAAGAGAGAGTTCTTACAAGTAGTATAAAAAATATAAAATAAAAATAAAAATTAATATATTAGGCTAGCCTGAGAGGTTCTAAGGCCGAATTTTTGAACGAACTTTTATAAAAGTCTAAACCTGATTCCAACAACTAATTTTAAATATATAAGCTCAGGCCTTCACGAACCGAACCAAAGAACCCTGGTTCGTTTATCATCCCTGCCAATGTCCATCCATATACATGCTTTGATTTTTTGGTTCTGAAAAGGAATACAGAAACAGAACATCATAGAACGCTAAAAAGGCTTGACGATGACTAGGTCTAATTACAATAGCAAGTAACATTTCTGCCCCTTTTTTTTTCCGGGTCATATGATAGCAGCTTGGTCTTCACCATCAAGGCTGGCTTAATGAGTCAACTCTGAGATGAGTCCTTTGTAAGTAAAAATTAAAATATAAAACGTGTGAAAGCTTGTTTGAACACTAGTTTTCAATATCTAATAAAAGTAGGAAAAGAAGAAAATATCAAATTACTCGTCTTTTTGCAAATAGGATGTTAAACTTCAATTTCGTCTTAACTTTAAAGTTTATTTATTATTTGATGGTACCAGAGATAGCACAACCAACTAGGTAATTAATTATATTGATAAAACTTTTGTGGAGATCAACTCCTTACAACTAGACAACCGAAAAAGAAAAGAAGTCCGAGTTAAATTTTAATAAATTGTATTTATTATATATAATTATATAATTAATTATAATTTGGTCCGGATTAAAATTGTAATTTGGCCCTATGTAAAATTTAAAATATTTTTGGTGAAAGATTTGGATAAATTGTATTAGATTATGTGTCTAATTTTCATTTGTATAAAATAAATAAATTATTTTTAGTAAAATAAAAAAATATTTAATAAAATTATAACTCTTCTTAGTGCTGTTTGCTCATATGTTCTATATTTAATATAATTTAAATATATTATGATATGAACTAACTAAAATTAAGAAAAATAAATACACATACAAATTTTTGACCAGGGCTTAAATTTGAGTCCAGCTCAGCTACTGTTCAATAGATAACATATAACAAAGAAAGAATAACATAAAGAGGACTCCACTCCTAATTACCCGTCTTCCCTTGATACACCCATGGACCTCTCCTAAACCGTTGAGCACCCTCTCAGCTGCTAAACCATTACTTTTCTGAATGCAAATACCTGCCGCTCAGACTTCAAGGGTGGAAAGCCAAATGTCTGTCTTTGGCTAGGAGAATCACTTTAGCCAAGAGTGTCATCTCAGCAATCCCAACTTATCATATGCAAAATAATACCCTGCCGATTCACATCTACCAGGAGATTGAGAAATTGCAATGCAAGTTCATTTGGGGAGACTTAGATGAAAAAAGAAGAGCCCATTATGTTGCTTGGGATCAGCTTTGTAAGCCTAAAGAATATGGGGGTCTTGGAATTATTAAACTTAGATTCCAAAATGAAGCTTTCATGCAAAAGATTTCTTGGATGCTGATTAATGATCAAGACAGTTTGTGGACTAAAGTATTACTTGGCAAATATGGCAGAAAACAAGATCGCAGGAGAGGTTTCATAGTTAAACCAAGTGACTCTCCTTTATGGAAGAGCATCTGTTCTGCAATAACTAAACTAGATCCTCATCTGGTTTGGGAAGTTGGTAATGGAATCACTACACTATTTTGGATTGATTGTTGGAGTGGAGGAAACATTAGTCTCTTTGATTTGGCATGTGTTAAACCCCCTAGTTCTGATCTGGATCTTAGGATTTGTGACCTTGTTGAGAATGAAATAGGTGGCTGGAAGTGGGATTATTTGAAGAAATATCTTGATGATAGCACTATTGGGAAGTTGCAAGGAATTCTGCCTCCTTCTCCTTCTGGGCCGAATGACAGACTTTGTTGGACCAGAAATAGTTCATCTAGGTCTATGGTTCGTAATGCATATTGCGAGCTGACAGATCCTATTGTGGGGAAGGACAAACTATGGTCTATGATTTGGAAATGGAAAGGGCCATACAGAATTGCAACCTGCTTATGGCTTGCTTGCTTGAATAAACTTCCTGTGAGAAGTATTACTGGTCTATGGAGTGGTGGTGTGACTTACTGTCCCAGTTGCTATGACAATCATGAGACAATTATGCATGTTCTTAGGGACTGCAATAGAGCAAAATTTGTGTGGGAGTGCTGGTTTGGAGGTGTAATTCCAGATATTTTCATGACAGCAGTTGGTCTAGACTGGTTTCGGGCCAATATCTGTAAGTCCTTCTCATCTAGATTTTGGCATTCCTGGTATGAAATTTTCTTTGTCACTTGTTGGCTCTTATGGCGATGGAGAAATTTGTTGGTTCATGATGATACTTTTTCTTGGCCTGAAGATCCAATGAGTAAGATTCTAATCTTTCTAAAAGATATGAAAAAGAGCTGTAGCAGTGAACCCTTTTCTCAGGCACAGAAGGAACCTATTTCTTTTATTGGATGTGGCAATAGTATGCAGAAGGAAGCTGTCAAAATTTTAGTTGATGGAGCTGTTTCATTGAATACCAAAACAGGAGCTTGTGGAGGATTCCTATTTAATTCAAAGGGTGAGTGAATTTCTGATTTCTCTCTCAATATTGGTATATGTACCAGCCTTGAAGCTGAGTTATGGGGAATATGGCAGGGGCTTCAACTTGCTGTGGGTTTGAAAATCCAGGAGGTTTGGGTTGGTTGTGATAGCCAGGAAGCTTTATTAAGTATCAATTCCTCTTCTGAATCAGATGGCAATTCCTTGTTAGTTAGGAAAATTAGGAACTCTTTACAGGCCTTAGAGTATGCTTCCTTTGAGTATATTCCTAGAAAAAATAACTCTCGTGCTGATGGCTTAGCCATTTTAGGTTTGAAAGGTAGGGGTGGTGAGCTGAATGTATATTCCTCTCCCCCTACAAGTGTTTTTCCATTCTGGAATGACTTTTGTAATTTCTTGCTGATGGAGCATGTTTCTTTTGACATGCATCAGCTTTCAATTTAATTCATCTGGGCTAGGCCCTCCACTTTTACCAAAAAATAAATAAAAAAATACCTGCCTCTCACTATTCTCCAGCAGTCCAGCACCCACTTATATCCTCACTACTCTCACCTTGTGTCGATTCTTCCCCCCACGCACTCCCCACTAACCCTTCTCCATTCACAGCTTGCCATGTGACCCCACCCATAACTAACTTTCCTGACTCATCCTCTTTGACAATTATTTTTGTTTTGCTCCCCTTCCATCAGTTGGGCTCTTTTTTTCTTTCTGATGTATACTTTATCAACGGGCCTTATTGGCCCATCATTATTACAATGAGTTTTACGTATCCAGGAATAATTTTCAGTCAGTTGATTTATATACTTACTCGTAAATTAAATTTAGGGAAAAGAGGTAGGTTATAGATACTTACAACTTTTCTTTTTACAACCTCTTACAACCATATCTTAACATCGTTGATTTCCGTCAATCAACGGTTATGATTTTCGCAAATTAAACTCATTAATTAATTATTAATTCACAATAAATAATAACCGTTGATTGACGAAAATCAACGGTGTTAAGATATAGTTGTAAGAAGTTGTAAAAAAAAATGTTGTAAGTATAACCTTGTTAGGGAAAAATATGTCATTTTAAATGACATAAAATTATGTCATTTTAAGAGAAAGAGAGAGAGATAAACACAAAATAATATTTTTTATTTAAAATTTAAATTTAAAAAAAAAATCACTCACTTTCTTCTCATAATTTTCATTCCTTGTATCTATCTCTCTTCTAAAATGACATAACTTATGTCATTTAAAATGACAAACATCAAACTCATTAATTTATTATTGAAAAACTTATTTTATCAAACAGAAATTACATGCGAGGTCCAATAAACCAACATTGCTGATGTTAGTCTTTGGTGCCACTGGAGGTGAAACAGGTGACCACATTGGTCTATCATATCATATGCCAATAAATTAAAAAAATAAATAAAAATACTAGTTTATTTTACATTAGCAAAATCAAGAAGAAACCTAAAAATAACGAAGTAATCAAAGGAAAAAAATAGAACTACACAAGGCTTGGTAATCTAAAAGCCATATCTATTTAAAGTTACAGTACTTGTTAACAGTTATTATACATCGATTGGATGGGCTAAATAACGCCCAACAAATTCTCATTCATTTTCGTAAACCCTTTGAATGTAGAAAATACTAAGTAGTTAAAAAAAAAAATGACTACCTAATCTACACAACTCAGTATCATGCTACTTCAGGTGGCAAACCATGCACCAATGGCTGCTTAGATTGCCATAGGAAGAGAATAGGTCGTAACTTCTTCCTTTGGTGCATATAACAAAATTTATATTTCTATTATCATACACATTGGCTTCCCTGATAGAAAACTTTATAAATCATCATTGCCTTCATCTTTTGTTGTTGTATTTGGACTATCATCAAAACCTGAGGCAGGGGCAAGCTCATTCAAATCAAGGAAACGTCTCTTTCTCATGCCCTCAACTTCCTCCTGACCCGGACTACTTGATTTTTCAGGAGGCTGGTTTTGGTTTTGTTCATTCTCCTCTCCTAAAGCAATAGGATATTGGTTCTCTCCTACTGCAGGGTAAGTATCAGGCTCAACTACTTTCTTTTCCACTTCTTCATTATCATTGTCATCTGAATCTTCACTTTGCATCATATATTCCCCATTCTCACTGGGATCTGAGTGATCATCTGATGCATTATTAGACTTCTCAGGTTTAACAAACTCTGTTTCTGACTCAGACATCTCATACTGTCGGTAGTTTATACGGTTTCTAGTTGCTCTCTTACTGCGTCTTAGACCTGATTGAATGTCATCCACAGACCTTAGTTTAGTTTCCCTCCTAGTACGGCCTGGCAATTGCTTGAATTTACGGGGCTTCTCACTATCCTCACTGACACTCGAGGAATCTTCTTCTTCATCTTCTTCTTCTTCATCTTCAACATTGTCTTCATCCCAGTGATATTCTTCATCTCCTTCGGAGGCTGAGCTACTAGAACCCTTCCTGCTCTGCTTGCGTTTCCGGAGATATTCTTCATCATATACGGCTTCTCCAACAATATCATCGTCACTGTCAAAGTCAGCATCATTATCTGACACTGCTTCAACGAACTCTTTCTCTGAATACCGACTAGGCCTCTGTCTTCTCCGATTGCTGATGTGAAAAAAAAAGATCATTAGTCAAAATGAGATAAAAGGCATCAGAACATATTTGAAGGGAGAAAAAATCTACACACCTTCGATCCATTGTGTCAGTTTGATGATCTTCCTCCACATCATCAAAGTCAGATGATTTTGGGGATGTCACATCGAAATTCAGATGTTGAGAAGCATGTGAAGGACCACTCCATTTACCATTAGTTAAAGCTTCCGGTTTTGCTCCTGCTTCTCTCCTGGGTATAGGTTCTGGGGATGGTTGTTTCCGTCTGATAAAGGACAAAACAGATACATGTGCCATGAGTACAAAGTATAAACAAATGAGTATGATTAGTCCATATATATATAGATAGATATAGAGAGAGAGAGAGAGGAACAGGATGTAAGCTAAAAAGATGAATTCCATACTTGGTTATCTTGATTGCCTCATTGATGGATCGATCATAATCATCTACAATGATAGTAATGTCAAAATATAGGTCAATGTAAAATCAGAACATAACGATACTCAAGAAGTAATTTGACTCCTGTCCAACCAAACAGAAAATCAGGTTGTTCAGGTGAAAATTTTGATCATGATTCTAGTTAACCAGAATACCAAAGTATAAAGCTGCATCTTGCAAGCATAATGAAACTGTTAACTTATTCATTTCTAGATTTCCTTACCACGATTCACCACTATTAATGCAGGGGAAAGTCAAATTAAATAAAGCTTGGTGATGAAATTACATTTTTTAAACTAAAAAAAAAGTGGTTGTAGAAAATAGAAAGGCTGATCAATGTTAGGCAAAATCCAAAGACACATCTATCAGATCAAATGACTCATTGGATGATCCAAAAACCAACACCCACCATCAGAAGGTCCCACTAAATTATCCCTGTATTTGTACTGGCAGTCCCCTGCTAATGTGAAAGCTTTCTAGTTACTTCTTAGACCAGACATTCCCAAAGAAGAATGTAGATATTGATCACCATATCCAGGCTACTTCCCCCAAACAATAGAAGGTACCTAGAGCCCCAACATACGCAAAACAACCCAATTGCTAAAAAAAAGGGTGATGTCTAATAAACAGGTTACTGTGGTAGTACATGTGGAAAAAGAACAGGAGAATGAGAAGGCCAGCTACAGGTGTTAAAAATGAAATTATTCTGTTATGCGCTCAACAACTACCAACACCAAAAAAATGTTGGCTCCAGTTATAATAGGTAAAACTTCATGCTCTTACCAAAAGTGTAGGTAACAGGTTTCCTATCACGAAGTGAACGCCCTGGGGCAAGTCCATCAACACCCAAGAAATTATCAAGAAGAAGAGCTTGTCTGTGCTGCCTTTTCAGAGACCTCTCCTTTCTCTGCACAAATATACAGGCCAATTCTCAATTTTCTCAACCCCTACCAGTGATAACAAAACCAGGCGGGGAGAGAGAGAGAGAGGGAAGGGGGGGGGGGGGATAGTAAACAAACATCAAAATAAAGTACCTTGTGAACTTTCTCGATTTCAGGAAGCATGTCTATCTTCAGCTTTTTCCCTACAGAAGCCTCCATTCTGTTTTTACTTGAGAAAAGCTTCTCCTGTCCAACCAGATGAAGAAATTCAAATAAGACTTAGCTCAACTAGAAAAATAAAGAAGTTGCAAAGCAATCTATATAAAAAGTGGAGGAGGGTTAGGTGATTCTTTCTTTTATTGTTTCCCTTACTTTGAAAAAGGAAAAAAGAAAATAACTGTCAATCCTATCGTCTGAAAATAATCAACAAATCTCAGCATTCTCAAACTTTATAATGAAACTAAAAAATAATTAGACCACTGAATTGGATTGAACATGACAATTGAACCACATCAAACATCTGATACCATTAAATAATTGCCGCAGCTAATTTTGATTTATCTGGTTCACGTTACTGATGAAGACTTACAGTCTGACTAACAATGTTAAACTAACCCCCCCCCACCAAAAAAATAAAAAAAATAAAGGAGCTCAAAGTGCAGTAATAAATATGTCATACATTCTTTCTACTGGGAGGGGTTTATTTTATTTTACAAACTACAATTAAGTAAATAAAGTTTTTTGGAATGTATTAATTTGTATAAAATGCACTGCAGTTAATAGTGACAAATTGCTGCTACAGCAGCAATATGGGGCAGAGCGCCTCTGGCCAGTTGCATCACATTTTTACTTGTTGCAGATTGCAGCCAAGATTATGGCCCTTCATGATGGAATTGTGCCGATAGCTGCCATGACTCTTAACAGGGATGAAATCCCTATTTTGCCCACTGTTTTGCCGTTGTCTACTCATTTTTAGGGCAACTTTTGTAATTAAGGATTTTAAGGTTTGAATCCCTTCATCCATAAAAAATAAAATAAAAAAACAGCAGCCCCAACCCCCTGCTCGCACATCAGTATTCTTCTAATGCATTTTCTGACTAACTTCCAGCAGCCCAAGCATTTTTTGGCCAAACATTTCTAGCAGCCCCAGTCTCCATTCTCAGGTCTTTGCTCTGTTGCCTCTGTTTTGTACAGCTTCCACTTTCGCGTAGCTCTGACCCATATCTATCTTGCACAGGTCTTTTTTCTTAAATAGTCTTTCCTTCTATTTTGATTATGCTTGTTACTTATTTAACTATTTTTGTGTTTGGGTACATAGATGGCCCAGCCGCCAAACTTGTTAGACAATTGTTATTTGTTACATACCTTTATTTGCTATTTGCTCAGTTTCGGCAAGTTTGCAGCCACTGTCCTTTTATTTCCAGTCAAGCACACTTCCTGCTTCAATTTTGCTCTGTTTGATTATTGACTTGTGGATTTATGCCTTAGATTGATAGTGAATATGTCTTTAATTTGGGGTAATTTTTTATTTGAGTATTTGTGTGTAGTATAAATTATTTATTCATATTCATAATCTTCGGTTTAGCGGCCATCCCACTATCCACTATCTTGCTATAGCAGTTTTAGATTGATAATGAGTATGTATTTAATTTTGGGTAATTTTTTTATTTTTGAGTATTTATGCGTGTAGTATAAATTATTTATCTTGTATTCATTATCCTTGGCATAGCAGCCATCCTGCTATCCACTTTCCTGCTATAGCGGTTTTAGATTGATAATGAAAATGTATTTAATTTTAGGTAATTTTTTATTTTTGAGTATTTATGTGTAGTATAAATTATTTATCGTGTATTCATAATCTTTGGTATAGCAGCCATCCTGCTATCGCGGTTTTGGGGTTGGTAGCTATCCAGGATTGAGAACTACGATTAAATGTTCTCATAACACAAAGGCAGGCAAAATCTTTCGTTGTAATGTGAATTGCTTTCACTTGGACTATAAGGTAGGCCAGAAATGCCATGAATTTCAGAAATGAAGCTTAATCACCTCATTTGTTTGGACAGCAAATTGTGCATCTTGCATCTCAGGTATTATTCTCAAGGTCTATTCTCAAAAAATATCAAACGGGATAGTTTTTTTCATTCTTTTTTTTGTTTCTTATTATTTATGCACATGTATGCTACAGGATGTGTTGTACTTACTTCCATCCACTTCATAAATTTCTCTTTCTATCAAAATAAGTAAAGGTTTCTATTGATATTGTGAACCGAAAAACTGTTCTTTCGGTAGTTTTCTTTCACTAGTTAACTCAACAACAGGGTTTTTCAATTTTCTTATCAATACTTCAGAAAAAGACAATTCATTTTTAGCAGCCATGTGAAATGGGTATGAAGAATGAAATACAAAAAAATATAAATAATATTGGTGAGCACATCAGGTGATTTTTACATTCAAGGTTTTGATTTTCATTATAATTAGGTTTGGTCAATAATTTGTGAATCTAATGGTTTTGTATTTAAGGACAATACTTAATTTTGGATTTTCTACTAAATTACAGATTCCTACTCAATAAGTTTACTTATAACTTCGGGTCAAAATCACAATAGAATTAGGATTAATTTCTGATTCCATATATCAGATCATATTAATTTATTTATTAATCTATCAAGTGTTTCATTATCTAGGTCATAAGCCTATAACACAAAAGTCCCAATTCCAAGCAAAACACTCAACAATTGTTGAAGCATGCCAACTGAACATAGATAGACTAGCTTCAGTAACTTACAGAAACATCTTGAAATTCATCAAAATTTGTAGCAACTGTTTCCCACTGGTAAGATGTAGTAGAAAGAACCTGGGAACCTCTTGGTTTGCCTTTCTTCAGTGGAACCACTTCAGTTTTTCTTATTTCCCGATACAACCTATGACCAATAATTGGGTCATCTTCATACCTGTGCTAATCAAATGCCAAAATAAATAAAAAGCAATAACAGATATAAATCTACATTGACTTTCCAATATGACATTTCAAATTTTGAACTCAAGTGAAAGCAAGAGTGTATTACCAATAAGAGACTCCATGTGAATCACCACCAATACGCTCCTTACGGAATGTTGAAAGTTGAACACCATGTTTGAGTGAGTTGTCAATGTAACTCCGGATATCTTCTTGCTGCAAAATATTAGCCAAATTTACTCATTATGTACACTACTAAAAGGGATAATCAAAGTAAGACCAGTCAGGCTATGAATGATTTTCCCCCCACTCTCCCACATGGATGCACTCAGAAGGTTTTGATCTTGGGATCTATGCTGCCCCACCCCACCCCCACGCTTTTCAAACTCCCCAAAGAAAGATATTGGAGAATAAGGAGGCCTAATTAGACAATAAAGCCATTGGACCACAAATAATATTGCATGGCCATGCATCTCCATGAATCTGTGTGAATTGTATTAGAAGACAAATTATTGAGGCTCACGATGACATCCTTGTTAAATGCACAAGCACAAAAAACCACTTGATGTGAAAGATAGAGGAAGCAGGACAAAATAAATCAAATAAGGAAGGTTGCAACAAAAAACAAAGCAAAATTAACTAGCAATAAAAGGGGAAATGCCATGCATTGAACATAATAGCATTTAATTCAGTGCTCAGCATGAATGGACTTTTCTTAATATTCCAATAAGATCCAAGCTAACATCAAGCAGAGTGACCTCATCCTACCATAGTGAATTCATCCATTTAAGCAAAACAGATATAAGACATATAGATACATAAACATTAAACAGTAAGAGTACCTCGACACGAATGTCACATAATGCTTTTAAGATGACCACACGGACCTCTGGATCAAGTGATTTATATACTTCAACCTCCGCCCTGTCATGTCAGCATAACCAGAGACTTAGCAATGCATATAGATTAACATGGGATTTTCGATATTGCATGACTAGTTGACTACTTACCCATGTGAAGCAACAATTGGAAGATCCCCATCAGCAACCTGCATTGATCCTCATATTAGCTCAGGAAACTACAAAATATACATTATTCTCAAATATCAGCTTGCTGGATAAAAAGTATCTTGTTACCCAGTGCCACCAATCTCTCAGTTTTCTGCATAGTACAGTTACCCAAGTATCACGTGAGAGTGCCATTCGTGTAATGGGAGGGATTGCCTATCAAAAGATTAAATAACAATTATTATCATATCAGCAGCAGTTTTGCAAACATAAGACAATGTACACAGATGAACGTATTGATTTTCCAGGGGAATATACATTGAGAGAGATCATTGCCCTATAATTCTGGCTATAAAGACAATATCAAGCACCTCTTACCAGATCTTGAACATATGACCATTTACATTAAACAGCCTTGACTTCCTCTCACCCATTTAACAATATACCTACCCACCCACTCACAAAGAAACTAATGCAAAATTGATAATTAACCCAATAAAAAACTTAAATGAGTTCAAGTATCAGCAAAGTTTTGATTAGCCCTTCTCCGCACACAACTCAATAGATCATGGACCTAAAGAAAGTATAGATTTTATAGTGGCATAGACATTGAGAGAGACAGAGTTCATTGCACTACCACAGCTTAAAAGTTAAAATACAAAACTTCAAGCACCTCTACAAGATCTGGAAGTGCAAGACCACTAACATTAAACAGCCTCAACTTTCTCTCACTCGCCACTATCTATTTATCATTTATCAACCTATGTACCTAATACACAACTACACGACTCATGCAAGATTGATGTTATTACAACAGTCAACCCAAACCCTAAATTTAGCATTTTAGATGAGTTCAAGAAACACCATTGTTTTGGATCACTTCATCTCTGTCCATAACTCATTAGATCATGGACTTGTAGAACATCTCCTGCCTCTAATATAAACATTTTCTCACTGTAGCAAATGAATTTCAATACAGAGCTAAATCCTCCAATTTTTACACAATATTTACATCTGCTAGGAAACTAGTTCAAGCTAGAAACCTTGCAGAAAGAATTAGGTACAAAGAAGTCTTTAGTCTCAAAATGCTTTGAGAATACTTCGAAGTTGGCCTTTTCTTTTCGTAATTTATTTGTGACAATGCCTAACCTCTTTTATAAATTGTCCAGCAAAGTATATATCAGTGTCTTGCAAAAATGATCTTGATTGTCCTTGAGATTGATTTGCATTCAGAACATTAGGAATAGGGCCAACACGTGGGTGAAGCCCAGGGTAAAAAAAATATGCATGTACTTTTGGAACTTGTAAACATTTCATAAAGCAAATAATTTTTGTACTCAAAACCTATAGGAATGAACAAAACTTAATGGTTGCACACTAACACACTATCCTTCAAAAGTGAAATGGGCCTCTAAATTAGAGCATACACAATCAGCAGAAGTCCCCAGTTCAACACTCGTGTATGAAAGGAACAACACATATTTCTCTTTCCAAAAGTTAAAAAGGGTTTCTCATTTATCCAACAAAAACCTCCAATCAAGTACCTGCTCTGTACTTACCAATATCAGTCAAACATGCAACTATTCGCAAGCAATTCTGTCCATCTCACAACATTATACTAATCAACTTTATTGTGTCATGAGTCCATCAGTCAGTAATATACTCACAAACTTCAAACTTGCGAGCGTTAAGCTTTTAGTTCCTTCCACCAATTCCCAGATTCCAAAAGTTTCAACTATACCATTGAATAAAGATTCATCCCAATGGTTGGGTGGTGAGTCATAGTCCTAAAGTTTATCATCTGGATTTGACCGATTCAAGCAGAAAAGTTGGAAAAGCTCTCACATTTGTCATTTTAAGACATTCTCAAAACACATGACTACATCCATGCTTGCAGTAACCAAAGCAAATGTCCGGTGGAGTTCTCTATTCTCTATTAATCACAGAAGCCTCCTAGGGGGAGTTTGGTAAAGGAGAGATTTTTTTTTACTAGGTAAATAGAATTACTGGGGAAATTGTAAGAAAGTGAGTTTGCTGGTAAAGTTGGAAAAAAGTTGTTTGGTTGGACAAAATATTACCGGGTAAATTAATTAAAGTTTTGTAAATCTATGTTACTTTTTATCCATTTCCCCATTCATCTAAGAATACCACATTAGAAGTGGCATTTCTCCTTTGTGTTTGTCACAAAATTTTTGCTCACAATTGATAAATGATGGGCATTCAAGTTTGCTTGCTAAATTTTTAAAAAACTTCAACCAAACATGGAGAAGACAAAATGCTACTTACAATTGCATAGGTATCTCATGAGAATCCTTGAACCAAACACCCCCTAAGATTTTACACTAAGAAGAATTCCACTTCATAGCTCTGAAATTTCTCTTACAGCCTGGCAATGGCATTAAACTAAACTAGCATAAAACTATAATTTTCAATTCAAGGGGCACAGTCATAACTATAAACATTGCAAAATTAGTGAAATTTAACAAAAACACAACGATGCACTGTGTTATAAACTTCTAATAAGCAAATACAACAAGTAATAAACTAACACAATCCACAAATATTAGGATTTCAGACCTACATTCATAGAAGAAAGACGAAAGGCAGTAAAGAAGAACAAAAGAGCAAACCACAAACTCGAAGAAGCAAACAAAAAGCACCAACCTTTAGCAAAGGCATATGTATATCACTCAATGTGTCATTGGGGGTAAGAAGAGCTGTCTCGAATTCTTCAGCCGAGAATTCTACTGATATATTCAAAAGAGGCCTAAATAGCTGCAACAACAACAACACATAGATAACAATAAAACATTTAAAAAACCGAATGCATAACAACCCCAGGGACCCAATCCAACGAAAAGATCACAACTTTGAACCTCACATGCAAGAAATTGAGTACGGAAGCTAACTCCCACATGGACCGGAGTTTCCACCGCGGCAACTGAGAGAGCGGGGGCGGTTCCACCAGCGGAGTCACGATCTTGCTGCATTGCTGCAGCTGCTGCGACTGCGGCGACGGCGATGGCGAGACCTCGCGGCGCTGCTCCTTCTTCGCGGCTTTGGGCCGGCGCTCCTGCTGCGACGCAGAATAGAGGCGGGCAGCGGCGCGAATGGTGCAGGCGCGGGAGGGGCGGTTCCGTGTGGTGGCGGGAGGAGGGGCGGCGTTGTTTGTGGTGGTGGTGGTGGTGGTTTCCTCCTTGTGGGTATCGGGTTCCGACGAGGGTTGGTTGCAGGGTTCGGCGGTTGGAAGCGGAGGAGGAGGAGGAGGAGAGAGAGGAGATCCTTGGGACATGGTGAGAACGAGAGAGAGATCAAAAGGGTTTTAAGCAAGGTATGGTGGGATTACATGTAGAGGATCATGTGTTAGCATTGAAGACAGAAAATCAAAGTGAAGGGATTGTAGAGAGAGAGAGAGACCCTTTGTTTTTTTTTTTTTAAGAGAGAGAAACAATGAATGCTAAAAAAAAAAAGGAACAGTTTTTTTTCTGGAGGCTGAGAGGGACCCCTCAAATACAAAGGTACATGTGCCTATGTAGGATTGCAAATATAGGGAACTCAAGGAAACAGAGTGCACAGAGATAGATACATACATAGAGCGAAATGATGAACTGGAGAGATGAATTTGGGTGTGACTTTGATCGAGGGTTGGCTTTGTTTTCACTTTGGGTTATTTGGTAAAAGGTTTGTCCATTTTAAATGACATAAGTTATGTTATTTTATAAGAGAGATAGATACAGGAAAATGAAAATTATGCGAGAGAGAAAGTGAGTGGTTTTTTTAATTTAAAATTCAAATTTTCTGTGTCTGTATCTCTCTTAAAATGACATAACTTTCTATCATTTAAAATGACAAACACTTTTCTATCGGTAAAAACTGTTTTTTCTTTAAATAAAAAATAAAAATAATAATGAGTACCGTTGATATGTTTTGTTTCTGGGCTCCACTGATTTTTAATTTTAATTTTTGGGAAAAATATCTATCCTTTTAAAGGATATAAGTTTATATCCTTTTAGATACTAACCGTTGATTTCCGTCCATCAATAGTTATAATCTATTGGGTCAAACTTAATAGGCCAAATTTATTTTTAATTAATTAATAATTTTAATCCAATAAATTATAACCGTCGATGGACAGAAATCAACGATTAAGATCTAAAAGGATATAAGTTTATATCCTTTAAAAAGATAGATGTTATTCCCTTAATTTTTAGTATCTTATTAAAATAATTCTAATTTATAATTTAAAGGAAAATAAGTAATCTTGTTATGTAAGTCTGATTTAACTTTCGTTTGTCATTTGTTTGTCATTACCAAGTCCATGCCCAATTTGACCTGTGCATGCTAGTGTACATGTTGAACTCCCTTTCCTTTTGTGCACGGAAGAAAGTGAAAAACACAGCACTACTCGTGTTGTTTGGTTTGGAGCTTTTCAGCGGATATCTATGTTTATGAAGTATGGCTTTTAGAAACACCATGTTTGTTTCAACGTATTTTCACCAAAAATCCATCTATTCAATTTGTCTGGATTTATGAGAAACATAGATATCCGCACTGTTTAGAAACCCAATTTGAAGGTGGGATTTTTCGAAAAACCGGTTATCTGACTTTTATTGCAATGTTGATTTCATAAAGTTACTTAATTTTCCCAGTAAAGTTTTTTTCCACCAAACAACTTTTTTTTACATTTTTCTACCTATCTCACTTTATCTATCTTTCTAATCATTTCTCTATCTATTACATTTCCCTACTATTCCAAAATATTTTCCGAAACCAAACGTCCCCTCACGAATGGAAAAAGAAAGAACACGTTAGCCTAATAAGTAATAAGGGGCAATAAAAATAAAAATATAATTATAATCAAAAGGAGAATATCAATTTAAGATATTAATCTTAATACGACAGAAGTAAATATGGACTTGAGCTATTAGAAAAGGTATAAAAGGTCCATGATTTTAATACTCATAGATAAATCCTATAACTAAGAGATAAAATTTACAAGTATGATTCATTCTCTCTCGTTACTGTTATATATTGTTACTATACATACACACCACCATTTGGCAAAAATCGTTACTATTCGTGTACAATAATCTACTATACTCAAAGATATTTAACTCATAGATATCTGATAAAACACTTAGATCCAAGATAGATTTACTATTCCTTTTAACTAAACATATCTGTTCTTTAGATAGAACACCGCATAATAGAGGTTTTTTTAGTGTTAATGTTTCTTACGTTGTTTTATCTTATACATATATAAAAGTATGTGTGGCCTATATGAGAAGAAAAAAAAAATATAGATTACTCACATTTTTATATGTGTGTTGGAGATAAATTTATTATATGACACTGTTGTATGTAAGATATTAAATGGCAAGCATGCAATTCTTTTTGTACAAAGCATGCAATTTTATTAAGGTTAAAAATATTGTTTGAATAGATCCATGCGATATAAGAATTTTGAGAAAAGAAACTTCTTACACAATTAATATTTTATTTTGAGTAAAATATTTTTTGGGTCTTTAACAAATATTACGGTGCTTAATTTAATCTCTTAAAAAAAATCGACTTATGATCCTTCTTTAGAGGATCACAATTCCTACTAATTAAGTCTATTTTGAATTTCAGAAAGATTACAAATTAACTTTTTTTTAAAGAATTAAAATAGGTTCATAATTTTTATTGAAGAGCAAAAGTTACTTTACTCGTTTATTTATATTTCTTTAAAGGAAATATTACTCTCCTTTTACATAAGGTAACTTATCTCATTTTCTCTCACTTCGATTTTCGCACCTCACTTTTTTTTCTTTTTCTTTTTTCTTGTAATGGTGGACCCACTCAGTTGCTCTCTACAATATAAGATACCTATTTTATGTAAAAGGAGATTAATAAAACCTTTCTTTAATAGGATGGTATGAAACCAATATGTCAAAGATGAGATTTTACCGTGTACATCTATATATCTATTAAAATGTCATCAAATTTGAAGATTACTTTGTTACAATTTTTTTTTAAATATCAACTGGTGACTCAAGTCTTAATGGGTTTAATTAATTTGATTTTAAATTTAAGTTTTTTCACGAGTTGCGAGTTTCAAGAATGGAATACACTATTTTTTGCACAAATTAAATTTTGGCATGAAAGAATAAAAATTTTATTCTACAAAGGGAGGAAGGAGCAAATCTAACATGGGAACAGTGATCATTTTGTCATTGTTAGCAAAAAAATTTACCTGACACACCAACATTAAATTTTGTCAAAATGCCACGTGGTATATTTCGCTACACTGTGTAGCGAATTATTTGCACACATATTTCGCTACACAGTGTAGCGAAATATGTCACGTTGCATTTTAACAAAATTTACTGTTGGCGTGATAGTCTGATAATTTTTTTTACCAACAGTAGCACTTTGGTCACTTTTCCTCTAATATTGCAAGGCGATATAGGCTAGTATTTTTAATGACTTGGGATGTGGAAGTAATATTCACATTTGTTTGACAACCAAGGTTAGTGTCTTGATAGTCGACCCTGAGATATCGTTTAACGGAAAAAAAAATTTATTTATTGTAATTTAATTAAATAATTATACATTTATTGTAGTTTTGGAAATAATTACGAATCTATTGCACAATGTGACGTCTCATTTAGGCGTCTCTCACCAAGGGAAGACGCCCCATTTGGGCGTCTCTCGTGAGGTGTTGACACGTGTCATTTCTCTCTCCAAAAAAAATAATAATTTAATCATAAAACTTCTAAAGGCCATAACTTTTGACTCGGATGTCCAATTCAAGTAATTCTTTTTTTGATTCCACATAACTTTTCGAGATCTACGCAATGACATCTCATTTGATATATTTTATTTCTCACAAACATAATTTAAATTTGCAAGAATTGTATTATAAGAGCGTTTAAATCCACAAGCCTCTAAGTACTAGATTTGTGATTTAATATAAAAAATAATCCAATTCAGGTAATTCTTTTTTTGATTCCACATAACTTTTCGAGATCTACGCAATGACATATCATTTGATATATTTTATTTCTCACAAACATAATTTAAATTTGCAAGAATGGTATTATAAGAGCATTTAAATTCACAAGCCTCTGAGTACTAGATATGTGATTTAATATAAAAAAATAAAGATTTAGTTTGTGATTTAAATTTAAAAAAATCACATTTTTTAATTTTTAATATAAAAAATAAATAAAGTTTTGGTTTGTGATTTAAATTTAAAAAATCTAAAAAATTATCATTAATAAGGAAAACCAAATAAAGATTTGATTATGTACCAAAAAAAAAATAAAGATTTGATTTGTGACTTAAACTCAAATATCAATTTGAAAAATCTGTATAATAAAAAAATAATTAAATAAATATTATAAATCTCTAAGTAAGAAGGATTTTATTTTTGAAAACCATTCAGAAGCTATAATTTAAATGGCTTTAAAGAAAAAAAAATCATAAAACAGAAGGATGTAACTTATGATACCGTGATTCAAGATACGAAAAATCAACCAAAAGATACACAATACGAATTTCGGTTCAATAACATTGTACACTATTTTTTTTTTCAAACACTTGGTTTTGGTGTGTTTGGTGTTGATTCAGAAAGAACTAAGAGACTTTTAGGTTTAAACGCTCGTATAGTACCATTCTTGCAAATTTAAATTATGTTTGTGAGAAATAAAATATATCAAATGAGATGTCATTACGTAGATCTCGAATAGTTATGTGGAATCAAAAAAAGAATTACCTGAATTGGATACCCGAGTCAAAAGTTATGGCCTTAAGAAGTTTTATGATTAATGTTTTTTTTTTTTTGGAGAGAGAAATGACACGTGTCAACACCTCATGAGAGACGTCCCATTGGGGCGTCTTCCCTTGGTGAGAGACGCCTAAATGAGGCGTCACATGTGACGCCCAAAAAAGGCGTCACATTGTGTAATAGATCTGTAAATACTCCCCAAACTGCAATAAATGTGTAATTATTTAATTAAATTACAATAAATAAATTTTTTTGCCATTATTTAACGGGAGGAATCTAATTTAAATTTTTATGCAAATTCTTATTTAATACTACTAAATTATTAAAAAAACTAAAACATGTTAATTAGTGCTAAATTATTCTAAATTAAAACAAGATTAACATAGCAGTACCCATTATTATGTTTTAGCTTAAGTCTCAAAAGTCTATGATCATGTTCAACGTTAAGCATGTGTTACTGATAAAAGTTATTTCTAACTTAAGTTTGTGCGTATGTAATTAGAAGTCCTATATAAACTAGTTCACGAACATCAACGAGTTGAAATGCTTATAAAGTAAGTTTGATGCATGGTATAATTGTTAATAAATTTATAATCAACTTCCATTGCATATTTGTCATGTGCCACAAGGCGAAAGGTGCTAAACTA